GGTAGCCTAGATAAAAGCCACATGACATAATTAGTTAATAACAAAAAAATTATTTATTGAAAATTAACAAAGAAATTAACTACTCAAATATCAGTGAGGGTTGGGTATATCGTATTGACAAATAAAATGACAATTGAAATCTATCTATATTTATTATTAAAAGGAGAGGATGGCAGCATAAAAAAAAGTCACATGTCATAATTAGTTGCTAATTAGTTTTTTAGTTAATAATTAGTTATTAGTTATTATATTGGAATTTAAATATCTATAAAAACATAAATAATAAAAAATTAAAAACTACCATATATATATATATATATATATATATATATATATATATATATATATAATCGAAAATATAAATATATAAAAAATAACTACCCATTCAAATTGGGTGGGAGTAGTTTCAAGTTGGAGTGTTAAAATTATTTTAAAATAAAANGTGGTAGCCTAGATAAAAGCCACATGACATAATTAGTTAATAACAAAAAAAATATTTATTGAAAATTAACAAAGAAATAAACTACCTAAAGTAACTACTCAAATATCAGTGAGGGTTGGGTATATCGTCTTGATAAATAAAATGACAATTGAAATTTATTAAAGCAATACGGTCTAATAGTATCAAACAAAAATGCTTATAATTTAATTATTTTTTTTTAATATTGATCGCGCATCGCGCGGGTACGACTACTAGTTTAATGAAACCACCAAGAATATTATGAGATATATAATATCCTAATTAGTTGGATTAGCAAATTATGAATATAAAAAAGAAATTATATCCGAGAAATAGTGAAACACAGCGTCATCATCACCCCATTCCTTTGAGCAAAATGCATAAACTCTTTTTAAATTCTAGTAGTACAAAGCTTTGACTTTTATCATATTGCTCTTCTGATTTCTGATAGTGATCTCTCTCTCTCTCTCTCTCTCTCTCTCTGACTTTCTGTGAGAAAACATTTGTACAAAGACAATATATCCGAGTGCAGCAGCTTCAATGGAGGGCCTCCCCTCTGGTTATCGTCCCAACGTTGGTATTTGTCTCATCAACCACGATCATTTGGTACCTTTTTTTTCCTTTTCCCTATCATTTATTAAACATTTATTGAATTATTCCTTTCATTTACTACTCTATAAATAAAGCTGCTGCCTTTCTAACTTAATTTTATTGATAGCTGATTTGTTTGCTTTGGTTTCTGGTTCTGGGATTGACCATTTATAGGTTTCTTATTAGTTGGAATTTCCAGTTAGTTATCTTGATTAAAATTTGATATTTTTTTTTTCAGCCTCAGCGAATCATTTGATGTACTATTGGTATAGAATTACCATCTCATCAAGATTTATTGTATTGTTTTTGGGCTTTAAGTCTTTTTGATTTTTTTATGGCTAATTTGAATGTTGCTTTCTCTATTTGGATACTGCAACAACAACAACCCAGTATAATCCCACTTAGTGGGGTCTGGGGAGGGTAGTGTATACGTAGACCTTACCCCTACCCTGGGATAGAGAGGCTGTTTCCAATAGACCCTCGGCATCCTTCCCTCCAAGAACTTCCCACCTTGCTCTTGGGGAGACTCGAACTCACAACCTCTTGGTTGGAAGTGGAGGTTGCTTTCTCTATTTGGATCTAAGGAATTATTATCGCGTTGGTAAAGTTAAGTTTCATGATTATAGGTTTGATTTGAGAATCATCACTGGTGCTTATACTAAAAATGCAAGGGAAAGGATTAAATCAGTAATGGAGCTGTTAAATTAAAGGGGTGATAATTTGAGATTTTTTTGTTGGTTGGGATATTTGAGATATTGATGTTTGTTAAATGGTAGAAAAAGTGATTGTCTATTGGTCTAACCTGCATCTAAATCTAATCTCCTATGAAGAAAAAAGAAATCTTGTAAGGGATGCTAAAAGAGAGCACTTTTACTTGATGTCGATAATTATTATGACTTGTAGAACTAGGTAGTTTTAGCTTTCTGATTTGTCAAATAGGAGCTAAAAACAAAGGACTAAAATTAGAACAAGCCCGAAAACATAAAGAGGGAAAATAGGGAACAATAGGTGCGACGAACCTGCACAATAATGTTAGAGTTGAGGTAGATTTGAGCTGGTTTAATCTTGTCTGTGTTCTTGGAATGACAGTGGAGAAAAGGAGTCCACTGGTTGTCATTATGTTAGTGTTCCATAGACAAGGTTAGTACTTCCACATAGACGGGAAAGAACTATATTTCTGCCAATAGATATATTGTTATATTTTCCATCTTGTACGTTTCATGACTAATGACATTTTCAACATTTTGATGAACTTCTGATTTTCTCACCTTAAACGGCTCAGTGTTGATTACCTTTTTAGAGTATTTGATTGTTGGATATTCCACATCTGTGAGGGTGTGGTCCTTTGGTTTCCTTATATGATCTTGCCTCTTAGCTGCTTTAGGGGTTGAGACTTAGCACCCAGAAATTTCATTTTATTGCTTCCTCTTTTTGCGTCTTCCTTTATTCAATATACATAATCATAATAAGATAATAATTTTCACTTCTCCCTGAAATTTTTATTAATGGAACTTGTTATGGCGGAATGTTATCTGCTCTAAGTAAATAAATAGGTAAGAAACTGTGCATTTATATGGTCGTGATGCAATTTGCAGGTTTTCGTGGCTTCCAGATTGAATGTTCCTGGAGCATGGCAAATGCCACAGGTTAATTGCTATTAGTATCTTCCTTACTCTCAAACGTTCAAATTATTTATTCGCTGTTGAAGGTGGTTCAATGTCAGCTGGCTAGGAATAGAATCATTGTCTAGCCTTGATTATTAATATTTGAAAGCAGGAATTTTTGTAGCATTGGACTTCTGATCCTTAAGTGAAAATTGCCTCGTGCTATCAGCCAAAATTTATCTACCCACTGTTTGTTCAAACTAACTTGTGGCACCTAGTTAGCTGCCTAGCATTTTGGCAATCTAACACATGGATTATAATATTTATCAACTAGAGTCACTCAATGAATTCTTAGCTGTGCTTGTATAATTTAGCTGTCTTATGGGGTTTATTTGATTCTTGCGGAGTTAGGGAGGCATTGAAGATGGAGAGGACCCAAGATCTGCTGCCATTAGGGAATTGCGTGAAGAAACTGGAGTAATATCAGCTGAAATAATTGCAGAGGTCTGTTTAAAGTGAAAAGTTTCTTTCTTTGGATAGTATGTCAAGGTTGTGTCATGTTAAATATTAACTTCCCTAGGATCCCCAAAATATTTATCCTGCGAAAACATGAAACTTTGGTAGGTTCCAAACTATTAGATTCATCAAATGATTACTCGTTTATCTATAAAGGTGGTTTCATATTGTCAGGTCCCGCAGTGGTTAACCTATGACTTTCCACCAGCTGTAAAGGCCAAAGTAAGCCGTCTTTGGGGAGGAGAATGGCATGGACAGGCACAGAAATGGTAGGTACCGTATGGTATTTTGATAAGCTAATATTTTATTCTTTTAATGTGTATCAAGTTGAATAAGTTTTTGTTAAGTATACTTCCAAGGGGAATATTGTGCTTGTCAATCATAAAAATTTGTGGAAATGAATTTCAAAAGAGAGCTAAGGGGAACATTGTGGCCATAAACGACTTGTTTCCTGCGAGCCACTTATGCTTGCTCCATCAAATCTTATATGATCCCTTATTCATACTTTCTCTATGGAGCAATGATATCAAATTGCTGTATGGGTGAGTGAGCTCCATTTAGTCCTTGTCCATTCACTCTCTTTCTCCCTCTCCTCTATTCACATGCATCTCGTAGATTTTGTCCTCTTTCTCCACAGGTCCACACTGGAAAAACATAACACTCGTTGTAGTTTCCTTTGGCTGTGGGCTTTGGTTGGTCTGAAAGGTATTACTGAAAACGCATAGGTGATAAAGGAACGAATTATTCTCTGAAGGAAAACGACCGTCAGGTTTCATTCTTCAGTACTTAAATGTATGCGAATTCATTAGAAATCTGGTTTTCTTGTGATTTGCATAGAAAAGATTACAGTTAAGTGGGAGTGCTTCCTCTGATATCAACTATTTCATCATCACTCTTGTTCCCTACTGAATATTTTCCACCTTCATATTTGAAATGTTTCGGTATGTCACTGAAATGTAAAATGTCGGTGGATTTCCTTTGGAAGTGGATTTAATGGTCTAGAGTTAAAATCTACGAACGACTATTTGTTTAAAAAAAAAGTTAAATGTACTTAATTTTCATCAAATTTGAACTGTTTCCTAATAACTCCAGTTTGGTCAAATTCATTTAGTCTTAACTTGGAATTAACAAAGTAATAGGTATGAGGGTAGTCTAGCTGAAAAGCTGTTGACTTTCTCACACTGGGGTTTTTTCATATGCTTTAGGAACTGTTTTTTCCTGGTTGTGCAACACTCTAGTCAATGCGAATATGTTGTAATACTTATAGATGGTCATATGGAATTATGTCATTCTTGTTACTCATATCAAATTGTAGTAATACTTAAAATTTGATGTGAAAGGAAAATTGTGCAACCTGAGCATAGTGTTGATAGTTCACTGCTCTATGTCCTCAATTACATTGTGAAATGATGCTAACAAGTCCCATGTCAGGAGAAAAATAATGGTCCTTTCGGGATAACCTACATCCTAAATTATATTCTGAATCAGTCACGCTCAAATGCACTAGAAAAGGTATTAGGAAAATTTCTCCTTTAAGTGGAGCTACCTCTTAGTCTATCCTCTGGTGAATTATGTCACCCTAAGTAAGGAGTTTCATCCATGTTAAAGAAGCATGGAGTGCTATAGCAATAGGTATGTCTTGTACTCATTTTGGGACTTGGGAGCCGATGTAGTTTAATTCAAATATTTCCTGTATTACCAGAGGCTAACTATGTTACATGGACTCGGGAACATGTACGTGTATTTGGTAAGAGTGTGTACAAAAATCCCATAGGTACATCTAGTTTTGTTTCTAATTTTGTGTATATTTTGAAGATTTTCTTAGACGTACTCTACGACGTTTCACACCCATTCGATACAGATAGGTCAAGACAATTTAAGGATCTGTGGCCTAGGGAGCTAATGGATTAATTACTTAAAGGGTCAGCAATGAACTTGGGGTATCGGTAATGGTAAAGCAACAGCCTGCAATTAGGTCTGGATTTCCTACTTCTGCAGTTCTGCTTTTGTAAAATGAGGATTCTGCGTAATTTCTTTCAAATTAGTGGTTCAACTGTGGCAATTACTTTGGTTAAATGAATAGTATCAGTGCTGCTTTTCACTTGATTAAGATTTGGATTCGCCGCTGTCTTTTACCTTGTTGTTGCTATTAATTGGTTATTGCTTCCTTTAACTGTTCTTGAGCTGAGGATCTATCGGAAATAGCTTCTCCACTTCATAAGGTAGAGGTAAGGTCTGCGTACACATTACCCACCCTCCCCAGACTCCACTTGTGGGCGGAGACAGGATTTCCGCTAAGAGGGTTCAAAAAAAAATTAAAAAAATAAAAGAGATATTGTAGCTAGTGGAAATTGAACCAATGACCTCAGAAAGGTTTTGAACCCCCTTGATCACTTAGCTATCCTTTTGGGCTATGTCAAGGGGATTACAAAACATAATATATAGAAGGTAAAAAAAGTATTTGCCTTATATATACAGTACTAATTTCCGGTCTTTTCGCCTACCCTAAATCTCGCCC